GAGATTTGCTTTAATTCTGCTAGTCCATTAAGTAATTTTTGTGGAGAATTCAGACTTGGTGAGTTATGACCATTAAAATATATATTATTTATGAAAGATTTAATAGTTTATCTTGTCGTGGTGCCGATAGCACTGGTAATGGGGATAATCATAGGTCATTTTATTACTCGTTATATTTTTAAAAAGCAGATAAAAGAATGGCAAAAGAAAATGGAAACTCCGGACAAAGAACAAGTAAGAAATATGTTAGCTGCTTTAGGACGAAAGCCCTCAGAGGAGCAAGTGAATAGATTTATTAATTTGACTAAAGAACGGCAAGAAAAAAAGAAGCCAGTTAAAACTAAAACTCCTAAGAAGAAAAAGTAATAATCACTTATGCGAATCAATTTATTTTTAACTTGTGGTGGTTGTATGAAAAGGCACCAGAATTACCGAACTTCCAAGGCCAAAAAGCCTCAGGGGGAAAAACTAAATTTAAAAAAATATTGTAAATTTTGCCAAAAAACAGTAGCACATAAAGAAGAAATTATTAAGTAAATTAAGGTTAAAATTACATTAAAATAAATTATATGACTCGAGCAACTAGTACACCAGCCACGCGACGACGACGAAAAAAAGTATTAAAACAAGCCAAGGGATATTTTGGTTCCAAACGTAAATTATTTAAAACCGCCAAGGAACAATTAATGAATGCCCAAGTTGATGCTTTTGCAGGCCGTAAACAAAGAAAAAGAGATTTTCGTCGCTTATGGATAACCCGCTTAAACAATGCTTGTCATTCCCATGGTTTAAATTACTCACAATTTATTCGTTTGTTAACTTTAGCCCAGATTAAACTAAATCGTAAGCAATTATCAGAAATGGCTATTCACCAACCGCAGCACTTCCAGTCTTTAATAAATAAGGTTCAAAATCCGTGATAAATGGTAAAAGTAAAGCAATGCACGCATTGCTTTACTAAACAATCCTCTAATCTAAATAAAACCAAGATAACTAAAAGAAAACAATCTACTAAATAAGAAAACTAATCCTCAACTCGCATTTCTCCTCAACTTTTTATTCTTTATTTCCAACTTCTTTTTGACAAATCAATAATATTCTGCTAAGAAAACTAAAATAGTTACTACTATGAACTCAGGAATTATGTAAAAAGGAGTAACAAATAACAGTACTTCCATTCCACAACAGGTCGCAAAATAAAGTTTGTAAATTACTGGAATTAGAAACAGTAAAAGCGATAATAAGAAATGAAAAACTAATCTAACTACCAGTTTTTTTCTAGCAAAAGACTTCATGGTTTAATTTCGTTATATTTATATTAGCAGTTTTGGCACTTTTTCAAAGAAGGTATTACAAAACTACAAATTAGTTGTGTTTAACTAGCAAAAAAAATTATCTAGTTCGATTAATAAATCTTTCTATTTTGAAGTTTTTTTGGTGGGCTATGGCTAATAGTTGGTTCTTTTCTCGCGAAGAGTTAACAAAAGTTATGGCTTTGCCACTGGCTCCGGCTCGTCCAGTTCGTCCAGTTCGGTGAATATAGAATTCCCGATTCTGAGGAAAGTCATAATTAATAACATAAGAAATATCCTTAATATCTAAGCCGCGAGCTGCTACATCAGTCGCAACTAACAAAGAAATTTTTTTGGCTCGAAATTTCTGAAAAACTCTTGTCCTTCTGTTTTGCGATAAATCACTATGAATGTAGTCAACTCGTAAGCGATTGTCAAGCAACATATTTTTAATTTCCTCAACTTTCCTTTTGGTATTAGCAAAAACGATTACTGAGCCGAGTTGGCTGGTCGAAAGAAAATCGACTAAACTATTATTTTTTTGCCGGAGGGAAGCGGTCTCCATATAATAATGTTCGGTATTACTTGGCAAATCGTCATTTTTGCTGATGATGAGGGCTGGATTTTTGGCAAATTTACGGGCAAATCCTTCTACTTCTGGAGAGATAGTAGCAGAGAAAAGTAAAGTTTGACGTTTTTCAGGAACTTTTTTCACTATTTTTTCAATGTCTTTTAAAAATCCTTTGCCAATCATTTCATCAACTTCATCCAAAACTACAAATTTCAGATGGTCCAAACGAAAACTTTTTCTGGTAAAAATGTGGTCTATAATCCTTCCTGGAGTTCCTATTATCACGTCAACTCCTCGGCGAAAGGCTTGCAATTGTTTATGAATTGGTTCTCCGCCATAAACTGCTGCTACTTGTACGCGGTGCGGAGACAATTTGCGGGCTTCTTCACTCACTTGTAAAGCCAACTCTCGGGTGGGAACCAAAATAAGCACTTGGGGTTGAGAGATTACTTCTAGCCTTTCCAAAATTGGAATCAAAAAGGCTGCTGTCTTTCCAGTCCCGGTCTGGGATTGAGCAATAATGTCCTTTCCTTCCAGCACTAAAGGAATAGTTTGTAATTGAATATTAGTTAACTGATGGTAGCCAGTTTGGCGTAAATTTTTCTTGGTATTTTCTGATAATGGTATACTTTCTAAGTTCATTTATATAATTAGTTTTTACTGATTAAGAATAAAACAACCTCTTCTTCTTTTAAAAATATTTCTTTTTTAGGCTGGGCTTCTTCTGAAATTACTCTTCAAAAAAAGCGAGCAATTTATTACTTCCTGATTGTTTTTTGGTTTCTGTCACGGTTAGTTAAAATAGTTAATATGTTGGTCAAAAAAAGAAATATTTGAAAATCTTTGTTAATTAGTTTGCTAACTACTAATATTATCATGGTCGTAATTTGAACGATTATGAGTGCTTTTGGTCAGCAACCTCATTACTGAATGACCTTCGTTATTCATAATGTGGTGGCCGTGTTATTTTGATTATTTAAGGTAATTGATTGGGTATAAATACTTGAAAATTGGCATATAGACTAAAAATGAATTAAAAAAGAAATTAATTCAGTATACGGAGATATACCCAAGTGGCTGAAGGGGGCAGTTTCGAAAACTGTTAGGGAGTAAAATCCGCGGGGGTTCAAATCCCTCTATCTCCGCCATTAATTATGAATAAAATATAAGTAATGTTAATTGTATTTGTTGGCATTCCAGGTTCAGGAAAATCAAGCATTGTCAAAGAATTAGCGGCGTTGTTAAATGTCAAATATTTTGCTGAACCAGAAGAAGAAAAATGAGCCGATGCGGCTAAGGACTGAAAAACTTATGGTAGTTTTTCCATGCTGATGTGGTTTCGTTCCATACGAGTTCCCATGCTAGTAGAGGCCCAAAGATTAAGTGAGGAGGGGGAAATAGTTTTTATTGATACTTATTATGATAAGTTGTTGCATTATTACATTGATAAATATTGTATGAGATGACTGATTTCCCCTTCTGATCGTTATTTTTCTGTGATGAAACAAATTGCAGAAATTGATAAGGATGTTCTGCCTGATGCTGATATTGCGGTTTTTTTTGAAGTAGATAAAGCGAATTGACTTAGTTTTTTGAAAAATCGGAATCGTTCAACCGATAATGACGAAGAATTTTTAAAAAACTTTGAAACTCAAAAATTTCTCTTAGAGGCAACCCAAAAATTATGTGAAGAAAAAGGCATAGAATTAATTACTTTTTCTCGAGGTGCTTCTTCTCTGGAAGATTCAACCGCTAGACTTAAAAACCTTTTGGAGGGAAAATTAGTTAAAAAATAAATTAATTTACAATCAGGAATAAATTAGACTTCTCGGAAAGTGGCCTAGCGGTAAGGCACCTGGTTTGGGACCAGGGGATCGTGAGTTCGAATCTCGCCTTTCCGACCATTAAAATCCAAATAACCTCTTATCAAAAACTAATCCTAATAATCCTAAATTAACTCATCTA